GTCCAACCGGTCTGACCGGCCGGTTCGGTCCGGTTTTTTAAACACTGTCCATGAGAGCAAGTCAGAGTTAATACCTCGTTTAATTTCTTATTTAAAAAAAAAAACGAAAAATCTGTTTAGCCTTTTTAACTTGTTGAGTTAATGTAACCAAAAAAAAAAAATACACATTTTGAGTTTTTATTATTATTAATTTTATTATTATTATTATTATTTTTTACTTCTTATATCGACTGTATGAATGAATGGGCTGCTTCAGAATCTCAAGATCCATCTCACTAAAGGTCCAAACCAAAGATCCGGCATGTGCACAAGGGATATTAGATATACTTATAATAAAAATATATAAATGATTAAAATTATATACTTAGAACCTATTTGACACTATTAAAAAAATGAGAGAAATCAAATTCGAGAAATAGTGATTATAACAAGAGAATTAAAAGTGTAATTAAAAACCTTTATTAAAAGCATCATGTCACATAAATGCTAAATAATAATGTTACATAATCATATATATATATATATATATAAGTCCATTTAAGTGTGACGTCATCACTACATTGATAATGTGATTGAGTTAACAATTTGTCCAAATCTGTAAAACTAAAAATTAATAGAGAGAATAAATTCATTTGTAAAAGTGTGTAGGTTTGTTTCGGAAATTAAAATTACGTTCTATACTACTTTATATTTATGAAATGGAAATTTCGCATGCTAAATTGAGGGGTATTGAGATACTATCACAATATTAATTTTTTTTAATATAAAAGAAATTAGATGCCTTGTGGTGACATGAAAGTGTAGTCATTACAAACATGGAACCTGATTAAATAAAATTACTCATTCTAGCATTTAATTTTGTAGTTGGCAATTTCCCCTCCTAGCTTGTTATAGCCTTCAAATATATCATATAGCTGGTTGGTAAGAAATTTCAATTGATTTCATACTATATGGTTGGTAAAAAGGAAGGTGAAGACATGGATGAAACTATTTAGGCAGATGAATCTATCAAGATTAACAAAATTAGTTCAATTGATATAAAAAATGAACTCATATTTAAAAAAATGTAATTTTGATTCTTAAAGATGTAAAGATCTTGTTGATAAATAATTTTTTAAATATTTCTATAAGCTTTCTTTAAATTTTAAGTGTCTATTATGTAAACTTTCAGAACTCAATTCATCTAAAATATTTAATGTAAAAAAATTATACATCCACCATGTGAAGTTAATTTTCTACTATCAGCCACATGGGACTATGGGAGTAATGATTCACGTTTAGTCATGACAATTGCAGATTCAGAAAGGAAAAATGATTATATGGTCTAAAACAATGATCACCAAGCATTTATGGTTTCGGCCAATATCTTTGCATAATACATGGTTAAATTTTGTTATATTATTCTTATAATTTAAAAAATTCAGTTATGAATTCCATAGACATATAGTATTTAAAGACTATTTCTGGAGTGACAGGAAATAAATTATAATTATAAAATAAATCTTTTTATATAAATAAAATTTTAAATAAATAAATTCTTTTAATATATAAATAATATTATAATTAAAATCTTAATTAATAAATATTTTTAAAATAAAAATAATATTTTATATTTATAATAAACAATTAGTATTGTGATACAAAGTTATTTTTAATTATTGATGTTTTTTTATAAATAAAGATGAAAATAATAAATTGGAAGAAGTTAAGAAAAATGTGTAAAAATAATTTCATTAAAAAAAATCCAAAAAACACTAATTAAAAAAATATTTTCTAAAAATATTTTCATTTAAGATAATTATTCAAAGTTATATAGAGAACAAATACTTATATGATAAATATTTATTTTGTAGGCACTTAATTAAATTACTTACTCAAACGTATCCTTGGTCCAATAGCCACTAAAGAAAACCAAGGACAGTTGAAAGCTCAAATGAAATGATCATGAGCTATAAGTAACTACTACCACATGACCATCATCACTCATTAAGTTGCTACAACGTTGAAAATATATTGGCCAATAAACATAAGTGAGAAAGAATCTAAAGACGTTTGAAAGAACCCCTAGAAAGATTATTTGGTGATTCCCATGGTAAAATTTATGTCATAGACCTCAGCTTATTTGGCACTCTCAACTAATGCATGTGTTTGATACATGTTTGACTCAGTTTACTTGCATATATGATATCATACAATTCAAAAGGTGATGATTCAATGCCTTTTTTTGAGTATAATAAATCAATGAAAGAAACAGTACTCTTGAAGTTTAAGGGAAGTAAAATCTCTAAATGGCACATGATCGAGGCTCTTGGCTGCTCAGCTGAGAACATGGCCATGGACTAACCTGATGAGCAAATCCAAACACATCAGAACACTTCCAAGAGGGAGATCTTGGTCCTCTCGTGCCATGAAAGTTGACATCAGACAGACACACATCAGTGAAAGGGGAATGTCTCAGTCCATGTATCAAACCTGCCTGGTTAACATTCACTCCCCAAACATTCTTGATTGTGATGCCCTTCACAACTGGCAGAGCTTGAGGATTAAACTTGTCATCTGGATGCCCCCCTACATCACCTGCAATTTTGATTCCCTGCCTTGCATTCTCCACATACACATGAGCCACTGTTATGTTTTTAATGAGCCCTCCCCTCCCACTGTTTGTCTTGATGTGGATACCAACTCCCATGTTGAAGAGGTTGATGTGTTCAGCTAGTACATTCTCCACCCCACCAGAGGTTTCACTGCCAACTGCAATGCCGGCGAACGGAGACGATCCGGTTAGGCGCCGGATAGTGATGCCATAGCTGGGGCGACCATATGCAATACCATACTCATCCCACCCACTCTTCACAGCCACAAGATCATCTCCATTGGAGATGTATGAGTCTTCTATGCAGACATTTGAACTTGAATCTGCATAAATGAATTATGTAGATGATTGAGTGTATATTTGGATACTGATTTAAAACCATATTCAATGAAAAAAATACATTTTCTAATGAAAAAAAGCAAAAGCTTATGAGTATAGTTTTTTTTTTTTTTTTTTTCAACTTCTGTTGAGTTTAATTCAATTGGTTTCCAAACACACTCCGAATACAATGGCCCTTTTACTTGTCAAAACATCTTATGGAAGTTCCATTAACTACATGATAGAGTTGGATTGTTGATTTATGTACCAAGGAAACAACAAATAAAATCTTATATCAGTACAAGATACTTGTAAACTCTTGAACTGCTTACATAGCATGCCAGCATTAATGGAATCAAAATTAGTAATTTTAATACTTCCCTTGGTTCTTAAGCTACATACATAGCATGATAGCACTAACGGAATCAACATTAGTAATTTCAATTTTTCAATACTTCCCTTGAACAGTTTAACTCCTGTAAGAGATGAGGTACAGTTCTCTTGTGAAGAGTTCAATACCAAGTAAGTGAAACTTATGAGGTCAGTTGCAATAGGATTTGATTATTTGTTACAACTACTTCAATATTTGATGTTTGAACAAGATGTGGGTTATTTAGAGAGAATTTACCTGGATCAATTCCATCAGTATTAGGAGAGTCACGAGGAGCCAAAATTGTGACATATCGAACAACAACATTGCTGCAAAGAAGGAAGTTTGAAATTATATTTCAGGAAAACATCTCTACGTCTTTGATTCCTTTTTAGATTGTTTCTAGCTAGTTGTAATCAAGAGAATGAAAATATTATATATATATATATATATAAGGTAGTGCACATTGCCTAATCATACCTGCAATAAACTGGGTGTATATTCCAGAAGGGAGAATTTTTGAAAACCACATTTGAAATAAGAATATTTTTGGAATTCATAAATTCAACAAGGCTCGGTCTTGTAAATTTAAGTGTTTTTCGCCTCCACATGTTCCACCAGACATCTCCTTGCCCATCAATTGTCCCATTCTCACCTATGAAATTATGAGGCAAGGCTTCCTTAAAGTGGCTTTGTCTATAAGTGCACAAGAAAGAGAGTATTCAAGGGTGTAGTCCCTTACTAGTGCACTTCATAGACAAGTTCACTTTATAGGAGCCTTTTCAAAAAAATAAGAAAGTGTTGAGAGATTGGTTTGTAATGAAGTTTGTAGCCTTAGCTTAGAAAGGTATAAAGAAACAGTTTCCATGATATCCAATCCATTATGGATATACACTATAGAGCTTCTTCATCATGACATTTTTTTTGGCTTATCATTCTCGCTCATAAAAATTATTTTACACTTCATTCTTATTATATACTTCAGTAACTTGTAATCTTTATTTTTAGATACACAGTGATCTGATACAAACTAAGAAATCAAGACAGTATTTTATTATTTTTTTTCAAAATGTATTAAAGATTTGATACCCACCTGTGATTATTACATCATCAAGTCCATCTCCATGGATAAAACTCATATACCTTCCTCCAGGGAGCTCCCTTCCTCTTCCATAAGATGGTAAGGGTGCAATTAAAGGCCAATTACCAAACTCCTAAAATATGAAGCAAGGAAGAAACATTAAAAAGTATGGTAGGACAAAAAGAAGAGAGAATTCATCAGAAGCTTCCAATCTATCGTGTTTCCTTTTCATGCATAAAAACAATAAACCGTGTTAGAAGGAAGAATAGAGATGTTTTGAGTTCCACAGGACTTTGAGCATTCATTTCAGATCATATAATAGCAGCAAAACATACAAATTTATTACTTTACATTCACGTGCAAAATGAGTTTGATGGTCGTAGTCCTATCAGATAGATTTACACCATGCATCTAAAACTGAATCTTGAAACAGTCACAAAGCTTTGGAACTTGTACCAGCAGTCAGATACTTTTATTAAGTTTGATGTTGAAATTAATTTCTCAAATAGGAGTAGGTCATAACCATGCACTATGAAGAAGATAAAGAATATATATATTTTGGTTTGTAGTTATTTACAAATGATAGATTACTTGTAACCACAATACTACATGGTGTTAAATTCACTAACTTTTGGGGTAAAGAAAACAAGGATAAGAACAAGTGTTCTTCAACAAAGCTTCAAATATGAAGTAAAATTTCTAACATATGTGGATAAAGTTTACACCATTAATGTTAGGAGAGAGAGAAGAGAAAATTAATTAGTAACAGTTTTCACAAAGGGTTGATAGAAACCCATAAAGGAGAAATGGAAAATTGATAGGAACAAATGAAAAATTTTATTCAATGATAGAGAACAGGAGAGGTCTCTCCTCGAAAAATTTACCCATCACAAAGGATTTCTCTCCATTCACAAAGATCAAATGTTCAATTCCCAAATGATGCAAAGACTGAATGAAACATTTCTCCTTAATTCCCCTATTTACTTAACTAACTAACCAACCACTCTAACTGTTACTATTTCTCTCTTCCCTCTCTACTAACTCCTAACAATTACAATATCGCCATTGCACTCTCAACATTGTTCACAGCCCATTCTCTCCAATCAAGTTTATGAGCATAAACAAGAAATAAATGTGCAGTTTGTATTCTGCTACAGCTCCAGATCAATAAAGAGCCAGATAGCAACAAAACCTTTCTAGCAAGACATGATTTAGTAAGGAGGTGCTCCAAGTATAGAATTGACTAAAACTAGCCCATTTTATACAAAACTTGCTCATCAAATGCTTTATGGGGTTATAATCTACAACAAACTTTGAGCATCAATAAAATAAATATCATTCTCAAATCTTTGATAAAGTGGTGCTTTATATTTAAAATTACTATGGACCCAAGCACAAAGGAACTAATACTCAATTAGGCCATGTTTACATAAATTTATGCAGAAGTGCTTATAGCAGTAGAAATATTAAGAACAAATGCAATCAATTTCTCCCTTAAAATTAGCTTATAGAAAAAGTTTATTTAATTTTTTTTTTCCTTCTTATTTTCTTTTTCAACAAGGTTTACAGGGAATCATATCCAAACAGTATTCTTGACATCAATTTATACAATACCTACCCACATTTCAAATTTTGTTACCTAAATATATGAATCATATTTACATTGTTCACACAATAGCAGAGCCAGCATCCCACTTCCACTTAATTAGCAGAGCAGACAACACTGGCTACTGGCCAACACACCAGCTGTCCAATAAAGCCATTGTCATTGCTTTAAATATCATGCACATGTAGCTATGCAAACAAGAGACCCACCAATACTTTTCCTCCATTCATACCAAGGCCCACCATAATTCATGTGAATTCTATGTTTTTATAACCAATTAATATTATCTATATTACCAACCCTGCATAATTCAGACAAGCACATAAACATGAACACATACTAATTGACCCAATTCATGACACATCAGACCTTCAATCATGCATACAAATGCTCCTTCTACAGTCCTTTCATCACTCACAAGTACTGAGAATTGACCCTTTTTTTTCTTTTCATCACAGATTGCCAAAGGGGTTTGAATTATGGTGTTTCAAATTCTAACATTCAATTTATGGGGCTTCTTGAATTTTCTGAAAATATGCTGTCATTTGCTGGCACTTTGCATTGCAGGAACTATCATAGTCATTAGCATTTTGATTTTAGTGTCAGGTGGGCTCTACAGACTCCACAATTGGCCAAGAAAAATCGTATTATATATCACAAATTGTTCAGACAATTTAGTAGTATGCATCGTATTCTTCTGCTTCCAAAATAAAGTTGTACACCGACATAATTTATCTACATAAATAAATACTATACTAAATTAAAATATCACGTATAAAAATAATAATAGTTTTATTTTAATACTTCGAGAATCTAATTTGAAATTTAGTGTTTGATTTAAATTATTTATACGATATTTCAATTAAATCTATTTCTCGCTTCCCTGTTCGTAACTGGGTACCGAAAGAGTTTAAATTATTTAAGTACTCAATTTATTTTTCATAAACATGATATACGTAGTGTCCAAAACTGAAAATCAATAATTAATTTATATTAGCGGGACATAAACTCCGTTGACCAAGCATTATCTTAACGCAAACAATTTAAACACTCAATTTAACACAATTTAAATGAAGAACAAATTCGTAAATGAGATATATTTTCAAAGGATGCCGTCTGATAAAAAAAGAAGATCAAAATGCCCTTTTTGTTACATTTTCGTCATTCTCGTCCAAAAACAAATGCATCTAAAATAATAATAGGAAAAAAAAAAACTTCGCTAAATCAATCATTTAAATGAAAAAACAATACATATAACGCATATTTGATTGAAATTCTTTTAAAAAATTAATACTTTTGTTAACTTAAAAAAATCATTATCAGTTAAAATTAAATTTAACCAAACATTCACTAATAGTGTTTATATTACCTTAATTTAATAAATTATTTATACAAATGGTCGTCATCACACATTAATAATTGACCATTTGAAAAAAAAAGTATCAAAACTGAAAATTTAAAAACCCGATTCACACAAACCCAAATTTTAATTAACCAATAACCATCTTTCAGACAACAAATCACACATCTACTCAATTGTTTCAAAAAAAAAATAAAAAAATAAAAAAAAAGTACTAACAAGAAAACCTTAATAAACGGTGACCGAGAGTTAAACGCACCTGCGTGGCTTTGATAACGGCACCAGCAGCCAAATAAAGCGTCATATGACTAGTGAGGTTGAAGCTCTCCGTTAAGTACACACCTGGAGGCACGTACAGTACTGTGCCACCCTGTCTCTTCAAGTGTTCAATGCGGTACACGGCCGCTCTGAACGCTTTTGTGTTCAGTGTGCGGCCGTCGCCGACACCACCAAAATCTGTTAAAAAGATTTTGTCGCTGCGATTTATTAGCGGCACTATGTTAGAACATGTTGCCGCTGAGTAGTTCGCAGCGACATAATAAGTGAGGAAGAGGAGGGAGACGAGGAAAGTGAGGATGTGTGAGAGAAGCATCTTTGGGAGGTGAGGTAAGAGTGGCCGTTAGTTCATAATAATAGTGGAATCATTTAAAGAGCGGTGCTTTATTGTGAAAGAGAGAAAAGAATCTATCCAAAAGTGGTTTTTTTTTTTTTTTTTTAATTAATAAAAAATGTTTGATCTCGAAAGACTAAAAAGGAAAGACTTTAGATGCTGAATCAATTTAGAGATTTTTTTTATATTATCTTCTGAATGGTTAAATGATTTGTTGTTTGCTTTTTTAAAGGTTGAATTAATTTAGAGATTTTTTTTAAATTTTAGTAATTTTAGTTAAGATTTTATAATTTAAAAATGAATTTAAAGTATATGGATTTTTTTGTGATGAATTTAATGTATACGTAATATTAATGTAAGAATTCTACACTGTTATAATCAATTAAAAATCATTTTTTTAAATTTTAAAATGATTATTTAATATAAACTTATTATGTGAGTACATACAACTTTTTTCTTTGAAGAAAAAATCTAGCATTATTACGGCATTGAATTGATAGAAGCAGTTAGAAAGGGAGAAAACAGAATATAAAATAATATCGTGTTCTCTTATTTGAATTGGTAAAATAAGAATGTAAAATTGTAATTTTTTATTTTCTTTTTAATTTATAAGAAATGAAATAAAATGATTTTCCCCCTATTTCATTACAACATATTTAAATAATAAATAGAGATTTTATTATTATATTTTGTTTCATTAAATTATACTTCTTTTTTTTTTACCACCGTATATATATATATATAATATATATATATATATATATATATATATATATATATATATATATCCCTATTTAATATCAATAATTAATTTTTTTCGAGTACTTATATTTACTTAAAGAATTGATGTCTTCTAATTAATATAAATGCAGATATTAACATACTAGTAAATATAAAAAATAAACTTCTCATTGTGCATTTTTTTTTCGTCCCTGGATCGCCGATAGCAGTAACTAATATCCTCACTACGTTGGAGGCACCTCAAAGGGTGGGATAGCTAGTCCCAAGATTTAACGCGGCTGCATACACAAGGCAAGATTCAAACCCCTGACCTTGCTTAAGCGTGGATCAACCCCTACTGCATAACTACACGCTTGGGCATCTAAATACCGAGTCATTAAATTCAAAAAAATTAATGAATTTCTATTAATCCAAATATTATTAAATATATTAAGAAGGAAATGTTATGAATAATAATTAGTGGCTCAATTAGTGGATATTAATATTCATTTTTAATCATTATCATTTATATTTTTATTATATATTATTATCTTTTTGTGTAATTGTTCAGTTACCACGTACTTATAAATAAGTTAGTCCTCTATCAAGGATAATACATTAGTCAGATTCTTTTCTCCATCTCATACTGTCTTGTTTCTTCTCTCTATTTTTTCGCTCTTTTATAACACGTTGTCAGCACAATGGTGGTGCAACTGCAAAACAAAGCTATGAAGAATTTTCATGAAAAAAATCATATTTTTCAAAAAAAAAATATTTCAAGGTTAGTTATTCATCTTCCATAATAAGAATTTTATCAAATATTTGTGTTGTTTACATTGTTATGTATTAAAGTAGTCTTGAAGACACTATAGTAGTCCAGAGACACTATTAAATAAAAAAAATTATACATCCTTGAAATGTGTCTAGAAGATGCTATCAAAAGAAAATATTCAATCTCTTTTAATTTATTATTTTTTCTCACCAGAAATGAGAAATATCAATATTTCATTGACGTAATATATTTTGTCATTATTATGTAATCATGTTTTTCATATTATGAATTTGATAGAATATTTGTATTTATGATTGTGAAATTTATTTAAATACAATTGATTTTAAAGACAAAATAAAAAAAAATTATAATTTTTTTTTATAATGGTCTAGAAGACATTGTCAAATAAAGATAATTTAATTTTTTTTTCTCACCAGAAGTGGAAAAATGATGAAAAAAAATGAAAACGAAAGAATAAATTTTCTCACTAGAAATGAGAAAATAATATGAAAAGTGAAACATAAAATAAATTTCACCAGAAGTGGAAAAAAAACTGATATAGATATATATTACATCATGTTTGATCCTTTGATACGAATGAGATCACCACCAGAAGTGAAATAATTTTATCAATGTCATAATTATAATGTTGAATGATATTTGAGACACTTATAAATATTATGACTAGTAAAGCGTGTCCTTAAGCCTATTTAAGTTTTATGTGATTTCTTGAAAGGATTATGAGTTTTCCTACATTTGTAATTTGATATTGTTCATGATTAAATTGATTGAAATAATCAACTTGTCCTGTAATTGAAGTCATGTGATACGTCATTGAATCTTAAAAAGAGTGTAGTTTCAAATCCTATTGATAGAATTGATATTATTTGTTTTCATAATGTTATACGTCTATTATTTTAATTGATGGAGATATCATTGCATTATAATTTGATTGTGATTGTACAAAAATACTATAATTTAATGAAATTATGATCAATGTTTATTTCCTTATTTTTTCGATAAACATTTATAAGGAGAATAATTTTCCCTAATTTTTAGTATTATTTTTTTTCTCCTTAAAGTCAACCTAGCAATGATATTTTGTTATGTATTTTTATTAAATAATTTTTTTAATAAGTATAATGAGAAAGACTCACTTGTTTTTTTTTTTTTTTTATAAAGAAAGACATAAGTAAGTTATGATTTTTTTTCCAAATGAATATATGATTGTGTTGTATCATTCATTTCCTAAAATGATAAAATAAAGTGTTAGTGAGATATGTTTTTAATTTTCTTTTGTATGAAGCATTTATTTGTAGATAATATACATGAGATGATATAAAAAAATAATTAGTGTAGATTTTGACATTAAATTGATGTCTAAATATACATAACAAAATGTCATTTTTACAATGATTTCTCAATTTGAAAAATATATCATATTTTTCATACATCTAATTTTCTCTAGAAGTAACAATATTAAAAAAAATAAAAAATAAAATAAAAAGGATTAAGAAATATCCTAAGTTGATTTATTGTCTCTTGAAGACTAAAACAAAATATTAAAAAAAAATTTATGCATGAGACCATTTTAACTAGCATTATTTCATTCCCTAAAGTGAATTTTCTAATATATTAAATTTTATCTTCTCATATTCAACAATGTGAGAAGTTAATATTATGTGGTACTACAAATATAATTAAAGGCTCCATAAGAGATAATATATTATTACTGAAAGAAAGAAAGTTGCATATTAAAAATGCATTATATTTTTCTGAGTCTTACAGAAACTTATTAAGTTTCAAGGATATTCGTTTAAATGAATTTCATATTAAAACAAACAATGAAGGGAATGTAAAAATCTTTATATCACGAAACTCCACTTTAATAAAAAGGAAGTATTGGAAAATTTATTTGCTTTCTCCTATGGACTGTATTGCATGTATGTTAATATAGTTGAAACACATACTATTGTAAACCAAAAGTTTACAAATCAAAATAAATTTGAGGTTTGGCATGATTGGTTAGGTCACCCTGGGACTATCATGATGTGAAAAATAATTAAAAAATTTATGCGGACATTTATTGAAGAGCCAAGAGATTCTTCAATCAAATATTTTTTTCAAGTACTACTTGTTCCCAAGGGAAGTTAATAATTAGACTATCACTAGCAAAAATTGGAAATGAATCTAATTCTTAGAACGGATACAAGGTGATATTTGTGGACCAATACAATCCCCATGTGAACCATTTAGATATTTTATGATTTTAATTGATGCATTAACAAGATGGTCACATGTTTGTTTATTATCAACTTGCAACCAGGCGTTTGCGAGATTATTAGCTTAACTAATTAGATTAAGAGCTCATTTTCTTAACTATCCAATTAAGAAAATTTGTTTGAATAATGCTGGTGAATTCACATCTCATGCTTTTAATGAGTTGATTTTCCTAACATTAGGGGGGAGAACACAAATTGCTAGAAAAATATATTAGTTTGAATGAATTATTAATATCTCATCTTGATCCTCATACAAAACAATGTGAACAAGAAGTTTAAAAGATAATTCATTTGCAAAATTTAGCTAATCAATTACCAAATATATTCACAAATCCAAAAAATGGTGACTAAGTCATATGTAGCAGCGACTAATGCTCCAATAAGAGTTGAAGTCCCTATTGGACAATCTAATATTACAAACAAGTCACAAATACGTCTAAAGCGTGGTAGACCAATTGGTTCCAAGGATAAAAATTCTCGAATAAAAAATAGAGCTAAAGATAAAAATGATCAAATTGAGGCAAAAGCAAAATCATGCATTCCTTTGATCACGTTATTATTTTGAGAGTACTTATGTGATTGTAGACAATGCCTGAGTAGTCCTTTGAGACTTGATTCTTTAACTGTTAGCATGGCAGTCTCCGTATGTGCCTATTAGTCTCATGCATCTCACGTCTTATTCTTCATCTGAGTTTTTAACTTGATGCTTTGATGGATTCTATGGTTTGGTCAGTATTACAGACGGACAGGCTTGTCTTTGTCCAGAGTATCTTTCAGTCTGTGTTGTCCTTTTTCTTTCATGTTTGATTTCTCTTTGACCTTAGACACATTTTTCGTTTGATTTTCTCTGATTAGATTAGTCAATGTGAAATTTAGAACTTTGAACTTCATCTGAGTATTGATGCATTGACTTCTCCTTTAGTCCTGTTCTGGCTCATCATCTGATACTCCAAGGTTTCATCTTGTAGTAGTTTTCATCTAGTGTTTGTTGAACGTTCTTCTATTTTTGATCTGACCTAGTCTTGATGCTTGATCAACCATTTTCTGATTTTCTTGTTTAGTTTGCACAGGCTTCATGGATTCTTGCATTTAATGTTTGCTTGTTAAATCTGCGTTTCACGAAGTCTTTTGTACCGTTTGTTTGCTTCTATGTCTGTCATTAATCATGACATAGATATCTCTATACTTTCCTGGTATTGTAGCTACAGAGGCGTTGTCCTTTGCTGACTGGTAGGTGTACTTGCTC